GTTATGAATGCTCCAACACTGTAAGTTTTTAAGAAGAGATTGGACAACCATTTGTCCGAAAGGGTATAGGATTTTCTCTGCCTGAATAAGGGGTTGGACTAGAAGACCTCCAGGTTCCCTTCCAACTCCATTTTCTATTCTGTTCTGTTCTGTTCTGTTCTGTTCCGTTCCGTTCCATTCCATTCCATTCCATTCCATTCCATTCTATGTCTTATGGGTTCTTGATATTTAAGGCTGAAATAATGCATATTTTAAAATAAAGCCTTTTTGTTTTGAAAACAAATTTAACCCTATAACAAGGAACCATTGAAAAAGTCAGCAGCTGCCCGATGAAATGAATCCTGTGATTCATTCTTGGAGCATTCTACAGAGTTAATCTCATTTCCAAAGTGGGAGTATTTTCAGAGGAATTTGCCTTCCTCATTAACCTGAGGTGGATTTATGAACATGGTTAATCAACCACACCTCACTCTTAATGAGTCATCTTCCTACTGTGCCTTTCCAGATATTTTGCACTGTAATTCACAGGAACCTCAGGTAAAATGACCTACAGTCAGATATATTGGATGTGTTTTTGACTGGGTATCTGTTCTAGCTGATGTACCATTAAAATACATTGCTAAGTTTATAAGGTTTAGAAAGGCATATTGACATTGCCAAGAAATATAGGTGCTGTTGGCACTGTATTTTCTTTGAATTTTTAAAAATAAAGAGTTTATTTTGAAAGCTACAAATAACAATTAAGATGGAATTCAGAGCCTTTCCTCTTCCCTTCCCTCCAAGTTATTCATCCAGTTTCAGATAAAACAATTCATTCCACTCTTTGGGAATTGCTGCAACATGTTAGTCACAGCTCTTGAACAAACACCAGGTGTTTGCTTTTGTTCAAAAATAGGACTATAGCCTTGTGCAACTGGATTCATGTCCTATTTGTTCTCAAGCCTTTTCCTGATGTTTTGAAAAGGTTTCTGGACAAATACTTCCGTGGATACAATTCCTCCACTTGTTCATTCACATTTCTACTTTCTAAGGTCAAATTGCACAACTAAAATGTAGAGATTATTAATTGTATATACTAATCTGCTACTTAGAGAAATATTCATTTCAAAGACAACTATGGAAAATTATCACAGGAAAATCAAACTGATTTTCTTCAATTCCTTTAAAAACACACCTAGGTATCAGGACCATTCCACCTCAATAAAACCAGGTCAAGATCCTTGATAGAATCTGATTCTTCCCATCCCTTCTTTTATATCAAAGGTCTTCAAGCTTGACAGCTTTAAGACTTTAAGACTTCAACTCCCAGAATTCCTGAGCTAACATGACTGGAGGAGGAATTCTGGGAGCTGAAGTCCACAAGTCTTAAAGCTGTCAAGTTTGAAGACCCCTGCTTTATATTAACAAATGGTGCTGAATTTGTTGCTTTGGTTTCAGGGTAAAGAAGTTGCAAATGTGGAATATATCAAGCTGAAATTATTTTCACATTACAATCACCATCCCAAAGGCGGTTTTTCAAGAGGCAACTGGACTTTCTTGTTTTTCTTTTTGCTTCTCACCCAAGAAACTTCTTCAGCTCTTGAAATGAAATGTCTTCAAAGAAAAACCAGAAAGTCCAGTTGCCTTTTGAAAAAACACCTTTGGGACAACCATGACCTGGATAACTGAGAATCTCCATAGATAATTACAATCATTATTGGAAATACTAGTGTGGGAGGATTGTAAGCAGCCATATTTTGCATGTGATAAATTGTCATTTAAGTCAAGAATTCTATAAACAGATATTTATAGAAGGTGAAGATCCCTCTATATCATGCTTTGCTGGAATAATCTATGAAGCCACCTCAATCTGTGTCTTCGAGTATTCCCATTTTCCATGGGTTGCTCTTCTTAAGCTATAGGCACATTCCTTTTGGTTAATTTTTAAGCATGTATTTTTGGAACTGTTCCCCTCTGTCCATGGTGCTCACAGCTGTCATCTGCTAGTTCAACATTATCTAGTCCAGCTGGAATCATTTACCAATACTGTTTTCTTTGAATCACGGCTAATAAATCAAGCTTCTCTAAACAAGTTTTGTGGTAGCTTTACAAGAACTTTACCTCTCTTCTGCCCTTTGTGACTGCATCTCCTATTCTTGCAGGGCAACACTGAAGAGTAAACAAACCGAACTCTTTGGCAGCTCCAATTTGCTTGAAGTTGATTCATATAGCCCAGCAGCTGTTTCACAATCAAATAATGTTGGATTATTCTCTTTGTTAGGAGCTGTTTGCCATTGCTACTTGGTACATAAAAACTTTAAATCTTTACCATGTCACTTCTCAAAAGCTCGTAGTAATTGGGGAAAATGCCAGATTCTAAAAAATAAACAGATAGAGACAGATGGTGGCTGGAGAATTCTGGGAGTTGAAGTCCACAAGTCTTAAAGTTGCCAAGTTTGGGGACTCCTGTCCTAGGGCCTTATATGGCTAGTTGTATTAATGAATTTGCTTATGGAGGCAAAATTGCAAGAAGGCTTAATGGCAAATCCAGTAGTAAAAAAGATTAAAATATAACATTTTTAATGAATAGAAATGCCTTCTCCTTGTTGATTCATTGATTCAGTCATTCCCAGCTTGGTGCCTCTACAAGTGTTGGTGCTAAAGCTTCCAAGGTTTATGCTTAGTTCACATTTTTTATGGTACTAGAGTAGATAGAAGGCTAGAATTCCTCCTATTTTGCCACATGTGGTAGACATTTCCAAACTAGTGTTAGATTTTAACTGAGCATTATGGCAATTACAGCATATCTGGTGGTACTTGATGGGAAAAAATAGAGTTTTCACCCAGATTTCCCAGAAAATTACAACATCCAAGTAAAAGTAAAAGTAAAGGTTCCCCTCGCACATGTGTTCAAGTTGTTTCCAGCTCTAGGGGGCAGTGTTCATCTCCATTACAAAGCCGAAGAGCCAGCACTGTCCAAGGACGTCTCTGTGGTCATGTGGCCGGCATGGCTAAATGCTGAAGGCACACAGAACACTGTTACTTTCCCACCAAAGTGGTCCCTATTTTTCTTCTTGCATTTTTACATGCTTTCGAACTGCTGGGTTGGCAGTAGCTGGGACAAGTAACGGAGCTCACTCCATTATGCGGTGCTAGGGATTCGAACCACCAAACTGCTCACTTTTCTGATCAACAAGCTCAGTATCTTAGCCACTGAGCCACTGCGTCCCCCAACACCCAAGTGCAATGGTCCAAATATATTACATTATAAATCATACAAGACCATTTACATTAGAATGGGATGTACATTATTCCAGTGTCAATTACTAGACAATTTATAATGAGGATGGAGTTTTCCATAATATCAGTGAGTATACTTTTGATTTTGAAGATAATATATTTTCATGGCTCATGGCTTGACCACACATACTGTAGTTTTTTAATTATTTCAAAGTTCAAAATATTTATACATAATTTAGTAGTTGTGCAATTCCATGATGGTAAATGTTTAGGACTTTTATTTCAGAGAATAAGGAAATAAATTCTAGTTTTGTTCAAGAGAATACCTATGACTAACTATATAATTTCGTGTTCATAGACATGACCGCCACTACCAATTTATTCCACTTATTCTTTTTCCTATTATTCAACATTTTGCGGAAATATATATCTCTGACATCAGAGATGGGAAACCTTTTCAATCCTTGGGAAGACAGGTAGCCTGGACTTACGATCGTAATTGAGCCTGAAGTTTATGTTGCTAAATGAGAAATTTGCCCTGTTTTATGACTTCTCTTGCCACAGTTGTTAAGTGAACAACTGCAGTTGTTAAGTTAGGAACACGGTTGTTAAGTGAATCTTATTTCCCCATTGACTTTGCTTGTCAGGTCACAAAAGGAAATTACATAGTCCTGGGACACTGCCAACGCCATAACTATGGACCAGTTGTCAAGCTTCCAAATGTAAATCACATGACCATAGGAATGCTCTAATGGTCATACATGTGAAAAATGGTCATAAGTCACTTTTTTCAGTGGTGTTATAACTTCAAACGGTCATTAAATGAACTGTTGTAAATTGAGGATTACCTAATTTAAGCAGGTAATCTCAGCAATGGCTAAGACTACCAATAGATTCTTCTTTTTTCTCTCATCGATACACAATAAAAAATAAAAAAATAAAAAATTGATAAGACTTAAGCGTAACACACAAAATTATCTGCTACAATGTCCTACCAGTCAATGACTACTTCAGCTTCAACAACAACAATACAAGAGCACACAACAGATACAAACTCAGTGTAAGCCGCTTCAAACATGATTGCAGAAAGTACGACTTCAGCAACAGAGTGGTCAATGCCTGGAATGCACTACCTGACTCTGTTGTTACATCCTCTAACCCACCAATCCTTTAACCTCAAACTAACCACTATTGACCTCACCCCATTCCTAAGAGGTTTGTAAGGGGCGTGAATAAGTGCACCATCATGCCTACTGTCCCTGTCATATTGCCCCCATTTATTCGTACTTATTTCCTGTATTCTTACTCATGTTTATACTTATATCTATTATCTTGTAAGCGACTGAGAAATAAATAAATAAAACAATCCTTTCCTTTCCATTTCACTCAACTCAGTGGGAACATTCATGTGTATTGGAGAAGGATCATTAACAACTTGTCTTGTTAGAATGGGTGGGGTATTGTTTGGCATATGGAAACATCCTGAGCTCACTTAGATGTGAAACATTGACCTTTAGATACATTTCCGTAGTTGGTGTGGTTTATATTGAGAAATATTGGGCCTTTAACTATTATATAGTTTACAGCACAGGTGTCAAACTCGCCAGGTCACATTGCTGTCATGTGACATTTTGTGACCTTTTCCCCATTTGCAGAGCTGGGATGGGTGTGGCCTGCACAACCGGCCCACAGGCCACCAGTTTGACATCCCTGGTCTAATTTACCTTGAAGATCTTCCATCCAGCAAATGATCTGATTATATCTTCTGTTTTCATCCACAGGCCTATCTAAGAGCAATAGATATCAAGATCCTCCATCAATTGGTAGCTGTGAATGATGGAATAGAAGCTGTCAAGTGGTTTCTTGAGGAAAAAGGAATGCTAACCAGCCGCTGCAGCAGCCTTACCAGCAGTCAGTATAGCTTGGTAGAAAGTCAAGATACATCCCGACGAGGCAGCTGGAATAGCCTTCAGGATCCCAATGACAAACTGGATAGTATATCTGTTGGTAGCTATTTGGATACACTAGCTGATGATATGGATGAATATGGACAAAGCTCCCCTGTGGAACCCATAATGTCACCTACCTTAGGTAGACCTCTGGGCAGAAGTGAATTAGAAAGATCAAAGGCAGATCTAGAGAGAGTCTTTCTTGCAAAGATGGACAAAGAGCAAGACAAAAGCAAAACTTATCCTGAATGGGCCTCTGGTTTAGTTAAGAATCAAAGTTTTAACAAGCTAAGTGCACCTGTTCAGGTGTCACCACCAACGGCTAATGGGATCTTGGGAAGACAAGTCCCTAAGCTAGTGCAGAGCCTTGAGGAGAAATTTACTGCTGCAGCTGCTGAGCAACCAAGCAAAGAGAGTGTAGCAGTAAAGGCCTCCAGGAAGAGCAAAATGGATTCAGAAAATTGCAGGCTCGATAACAGGAAGCACCTGGAATATGATGGTCAATGGCAGTGGGCAGAGTCTCAAGAAGATGTGACATTTTTGTAGCATCCCTGACTGGCTGCCTGGATAAACATAAAGAGATTCCAGGTTTTATGCACTAGTCTTTTTGCACCTTGGACTGCAAGCTGTGCTCTCTTTGTCTGAATGTCTTTTGTTTTGACCAGAACTGTTGAGACATATTTGCTGATGGACAGAACATAAGTATATTAGCCAGATGGCATTTGTCTTCTAAGATCTTAAGCTTTTGCCAAGAATGAGGGCATATGAAAATACTGTACACCTCTATTTGAAAGCTTTTGGCCTGCCAATGCTGCACTTTTGTGCCCCAGTTCTAGTTTCCATGTGAGTGGAAGTGGGCGTAGGCTCATAGGCTGGACTTTCAGGTTTTGACAAAGCTGTTCACCTGAGTAGCACTCAATCCTACTGCATGTAACCAATACTGCCCTAGGAATAACTGGTATTTTTTAATGAAAGAAACCAGAGGCAAACCTTTGATACTATAATCAATGTTTTAATCAATGTTATTATTATTATTATTAATGTCGTAGGAAATACTGCTTCTTCATTTGCTTGATGTTTGAGTTACCTCTTAGGTTTAAGAAAGGAATGTAGAATTCTGCAGAGAAGCCTACACATTCATTTCCTACACTCAACAGACTGAATATGTCCTTCATTCTGGTAACCATGAGAACCAACTTTCCACCTGAACCTGAATCTGAGGAAAATAGTGGGGGAGTCTGTTGGTTTAATGCAAGGGTCTTCAAACTTGGCAAGTTTAAAACTTGTGGACTTCAACTCCCAGAATTCCTGAGCTAACACGACCAGAGGAGGAATCCTGGGAGTTGAAGTCCACAAAACTTAAATTTGTCAAGTTTGAAGACCCCACCCCCAGTTTAATGAGTCTTGAAAAGCCTTGAAGAACTGAAGCTTAAGTGTTGTGCTGCACTTTTAAATGACTGCAAGTAACACAAAAGTGCAGCAAATATATAGAGATAACCTCTCACACACTTTACATTAGGCTTGGAAAATAACTGAGATTTTTGTGGTATACTTTGGAGGTAAATTGATTTGCCTTGAGTTGGAAGCAGGGATGGAAAAAGGAAAAAGGAATCACTAGTGACGTTGCATTAGACTGCAAAAGTGCCCTGACTAGCTGTTTGCTATAACCATAACACTGGCAAACCAACATTCATGGGATCCAAGTAAAAAAAAACAGCTGTATGTGCATCCAAATTTTGAGTTTCAAAGTCATAGTTTTAAATGGCAGCTCTATACTGGCTTTAAAATGTTGGAAGAAATATCCTTCTGGGTGCAGTTCCAAGTGGGGAAAAAGACACTGGAAATATGGAGGCTGTTTGGAAATTAATTAATGGTGGACAGGACCACATGGCTTGGAGCTCCAAAGTGAAAAGAATGATCACATGCTTCAAGATGAAGGAAAGGAAGGAAGGGCTGAGATGCTGAGGCCCTTAGTTTTATGCCTTCTGTTGGGCCACACCTTACTGTTTCCTGTTCCTGTGTAAGAAATGTATCCCATTGGCCGTCAGACTCCCAGGGGCGGGGGTCTTAGCTAACTTTGTAGACTTTGTCTAGATCACATGGCTTCACCTGAATGCTGACTGATGCAATCTTCCCAGGCCATGTGGTGAGATGGGTAGAGGGCTTTGTTATGTAGAATACTCTGACCCAGGCCTTAATGGTCCATCCATTAACAAAGGTGGGGGTGAGTTTCTACTTCTCTTTTTAGGAAGAATATTCTGCCTTTTTAGTATATCCTAAAATATTTCATTTTCTTAGGAAAGGGGTGGGTTAACTGCCAACAAAAAAATAAATTTATAAGAAACTGAGGTATGATAATCTCATTTTGCCCAATATATATTCTCCCCAGGTTAAAGTCATATCTCTTGAAAAAGGTAGTAGAAGAGCTAGCTACTTGAAATTTCCTCATTGGAAGCCCATATTATTTTGCTCTGTTTCTCAGAAAAGTCAGACTTCCTTCCCCATGGAAAAAGACACCAGAGGGAGTAGGAAAACATGGAAGGTTTATGCATAAGTTTCCTTTCTTAATAAATTCCAGTGATTTTGTTGTGATTTTGTAATAAAATACTCATCTGGAAGCAATCTTTGTTAGGATTACAAAGTAATTCTAATTTTGATGGAGATAATATTGCTGGTGTGTGATGGATTAACAAGATTATACAGACCGTGTTTCATCTATTTTCTTATGTGTCCATGTGCGCATGTGGTGTGGAGTGGGGAAGGGAAAATCAAGGGTTTTTTTTAGAATTAAGACTCAGTCCAAGAGAATACTGAAAAAGTCTTAAAATGTGCACCTTTCATATCAGTTTATCGCAGATCAGAAAAAGGTAAATGACAAAAATACATACACAAACCCTAAACTTAACAATACAAAGAATGTTGTGGCTCAAGAAACAATTGCTCAGCTTTCTTTTTAATTGGGCCATAAAATGCAATGAATTATATGAATTACAGCCATGCTATAAATTATGTTCACAATTAAAGTTGCAATTAAAGTGTTTAGGGAAGGGAGGATCCAGAAAGAAAGCAATGCTCACTAGAACTGTAAAGTGGAGTCACATGCTGTGGTTTTAAATACTTCCCATTCCACCCAAAGATGGTTTTTCAGGAGGCAACTGGATTTTCTTGTTTTTTCTTTTGAAGATGTTTCAATTCTCACCCAAGAAGCTTCTTCAGCTCTGACTGGATGGTGGAATGGAAGGATTTATATTCCTGGTAGATATCTGGTCATTTGCATTCTTTTGGAAAGTTGTTGAGGCCACTTGGAGGTTTATCTGTGTCCTCAGGGTCACAAGTATTGCAAATGAGTGTGGAGCCTTCTTGGTTGCAGGATGTTTTCTGCCCTGTGTCCCTTCACTGTTGAAGACAGGCGCAGGCTGTTGGGATGAGTCTGTGTTATCTGCACCTCAAACTGAGATTCCACTTCACCCAAAGCTATTACAGGATTTAGCTTGTTTCAAAATTATTCAATCTTTTTTCAAGCTAAAAACATCCTTTGTGAATGTGCAATTTACTTCTAATCTGGTCCTGTGATTGCCTTTTCTACACATTCCTTTTCTGAGGTGTTCTGCACTCGATGTTAGCTAAATAACCTTGTTGGAAATTTGTGCCATGAGCACTGCAAAAAAGGCCATACGATGCCATACCATTAAATGGAGCACAAATGTTTCCAGAGCAGAAGCAAAACAACAACAACCCTTCAATGATTTAAGCAAGAGAATCATAAACATGATGAAGGGAAAGACAAAAGGATTTACATTTGCAAAGTAATCTATTCAGAAGAAAGAACTGAAGGAATGGAGTATAACCATGTTACATGGGAACAGAACATCAGTTGTGCTAAACTGTCTCAAATCATAGCATGCAGCTTTCTAGGAACAGTGCATGTATTTTGTGTTTTGGAAACATAACAATGCTGATCTTTCCCCCCCCTTTTTTCTTAGAAAAAATGTCCACATGATAGCATTAAATGCAGAATATTTCACTATTTTAGCCCAGGGAAAATTCTCCATTTGCATTGAACAGGGAACAATAAAGATTGTAATTGATGTAGCTCTTTCTTTGGTATCTAAACAACTACTTTCCCTTTGTTGCTACAGAAATAATCTTTTTTGAGATTTATCCTTTAAAAGTCAGAGAGAGAGAGGGAGGGAGGGAAAGAGAGGGGGTAGTTTTGGGGGATAATGAAAATAATATCAGACAAAAACTTCCAATCTTGATGTCTGCAGTTTTATACATACATGATCAATGGTAGCCTGAAAACATTTTAGTCTGAATTGCTAATGGAATTATATGGCATTTCTTTTTCCTTTTGGTGCAAAATGTCATAAAAGGTAAATTGATGCTGTGTTGAATTTTCATGAGCTTCAATTTGCATTGCAAAGGTTGCCATGCGGGATAAAAAATATTTATTAATAAAGGCTGATCTTTAAATCTTGTGCACTTTGAAATCTCGGTTTACAATTATCATTTCCCAATCTGCTTTTGTGTCTGCAAGAAGGAGTTGTCTGAGAAATGAGTTACTTCCCTTCATTTGTTACTCCGTATAGGTATATTTTTGCCTGCTAGCTCTATGACCTTTCTGTCCCAATCCAGTTATAATCAGTTATCTTTGTAAAAGACCAGATTTAGCAGATAGGATTGAAATGTTCAAACCTAGACCTTGCCCTCTGCATTGCATAGCTTTCAGTGTGATACTTCTTCAGATTTGCATCTATTACAAATTTTCAGCTATATACAGTATTATGCTTCACAATTTACAATGCTATCACTTTTACGGGTTTGTTTGGCCACTTTTATTATTCTGAGAAGTTTTGACTGTTTATGGAACCGATATAGGAACTGCTATTTCTGGAATGGCTGTTACAAGGATTGAAGGATAATCAAGTGATTTCACATGGATAGGGATCAGATACACCCATCTGGTCAGTCTCCACCCATGTGGTTGAGTGCTAAAATATAGCTTCAGTTCCCAAGGAGTTATTCATGGCTTACACCTACATTTAAAGGCTTTCCATGTTAAGACTGTGAATCCTATGGGGAAAAGAAGTATAAAATTTTTAAGAAAACTAACTAAATTTATTCTGGGAATGAGCTCTCTCTGATGTTTTTCACTCCTGTTTTTATCAGTACCATGTGGGCAAATCTGATGAACTATCTAGCAAGCACAAGGAACCATTCAATATACTAATAGTGGTTGAGTTCACATATTGTACTAAATTATAGTTAATTTGAACCACTGTTTTCTAACAAAGTCCTGGTTCACAAGAACTATTAAAACCCAAATTAAATAAGCCAATTATAAGAGCCTTGACTGTGTGAGAGGAGTCCCAGTACAATTAGTGTCAGTGATAGATGAATTCACCCTCACATATTTTGTTACTTGATTACTCAGTTACAAATCCTTTCTCTTAAATTCAGATAAAAAAAAAATCAAATATTTTTTCAACCCTCTTCTTAACTGAAGTAATGAGTTAAATTTAATTTCTTATAGGAAGCGATCTGGAGTCCTTCAAACTATTACATTTTCATTTTAGAATTATTCACTTCTCCAAGAGAAAACATAACCTTTTCTCTGTGGGTGGAAAGAATCATGGGGGATGATGGAAATGACTGAAAAATATATTAGAAAATGATTTGTACTAACAATAGCAATAGTACAATTTGGGCTCAGCACCTGACTATCCACATGAAATCACTCTCAAAAATCAAGTTAGCTAGGACTTGGAAGAGTGGCAAAACTTCCATACTGTTGCCAGGACAATGATGTGGATGAGTTTATGTATTCGGAATTACAGAATAAAAGAGTTGAAAGGGATTTTCTAGTTCAAGTCCCTGCTTAAGCAGGAGACCCTACCTGATTCCAAACAAATGGCTGTCCAATCTCTTCTTAAAAACATCCAGGGATGTAGCACCCACAATATCTGGAGACTAGCTATTTCACTGATTAATTGTTCTCACTGAAAGGAAATTTCTCAATTGTAGATTGGATCTCTCTTTGATATGCTTCCATTTATTACTCCTTGTCCTGCCCTCGGGTGCTTTGGAGAATAGGTTGATTCCTGCCTCTCTGTGACTGCCCTTCAAATATTGGAAGACTGCTATCATGTCAACTCCTTTTCTTTGTTACGTTAGACCAAGGGTCTTCAAACTTGGCAAGTTTAAGACTTGTGGACTTCAACTACCAGAATTCCTCAGCTAGCATGACTAGAGGAGGAATTCTGCGAGTTGAAGTCCACAAGTCTTAAAGCTGTCAAGTTTGAAGACCCCTGCAATAGACAGACCCAGTTCTGGCAATCTTTGTACATTTTACTCTCCAGTACCCTAATAATCTCTGTTGCTCTTCTGTGTACTCTGTCTAGAGCAGTGGTGGCTAACCTTTTTGGGCTCCTGTGCCAAAAATTGCTCATGCACATGCTCACATGCCAGCACCCAGAAGGCAATGTGCATGGCTTCCCCACACCCCCTGCACATGCATGCATGATTTCCCCCTCACCGTCCCATTACTTGCACTGCACCTCCCAGCTGATTTTTTGCCCGTTTGAGGCTTTTTTTGACCTGCAAGAGGCTTGAGAGAAGCCTTTGCTGGCTTTCCAGGATGAAAAATGGGCCCGTTTCATCACTTCCAGTATTTCTGGAAATACAGGAAGTGATGAAATGGTCCTATTTTTTGGCCTGCAAATCCTGAAGAGGCTTCCCTCAAGCCTCTGGCAAGCCGAAAAAGGCCCAAAAATCAGCTGGGAGGTGCGTGCATGCACAGTGAAATTAGTTTGCCTGGGGCTTGCTTGCCCGCACAAATGACTCTGTGTGCCACCTGT